TGGCCTTCTCAGCCACACTAGATGCTGTTCCAAGTCTTCCATACAGAGCACGTTACCATAGTCTCTTGAGACTGAAGGATGCCTAATCTAAAGTGGCCCAATAAAGGTATTACTCAATCAAGTTTTTTAAATTTGCAACAAGGCTACATGTTTTTATTTGTTCTAATACTAATCACAATTCTAAGTAAACTGAGCTGACAGTAAAAATTAAGATAATCATTGTGCTTTGTTGTCTGAAATGATGTTAATTGCATTTGGATGGCCACCTAATTGCCAACCTTAACTTTAAATAATTTGTTACCTTTTCATTCTCCCAATTAAGAGGTTAATGGTCTTTCTCACTTGGCTATTACATTGATAAATGAGAAGATTATTTTATATTGCTCATTGAAACAACCTACCAATTACTGTAATACATGGTCACTTAGTAAATTAAAAACAGTTAGTTCCAAATGCTGTTTTCACTTAATAACATTAAGTCCACATATCCCAGCAATATTAATTTCAACCTTTCTTTTTCTACATATCCTATATTCTATGATTCTACAATTTCAAGTGTTCTTAAGAAAAGAGGAACAAGGATGATAGTGGCAATCCTCAGAGCAATGTGTGTCACTTCCATAGCGACATTCAGACTGGCTCTTAATTATGAACAAAATGACATACTGCTTATTTCTGGCAAAGTCAATTATATAGTCATGATTTTGGATTTTAAAAAGGATTCCCCAAGAACACGTCTGCAAAGGTTTTATAAGTCAACAGCCATATGCGCTGAAACACATTTGATTCCAGAATACTCAGATTACAGGAAACCCTTAAAAACATTGCACAGACAGGTTTATGAAGTTGCTTTCTGGTCTTAGCAACCACACACACACAAATAATCCCCAACAATAAGCCAAAGAGTGATCACTGGAATAAAATATAACATTTCATTTTATAACAAATAGCTTCTGATGTCAATGTGAAATATACCTTGTTGTATACACATCTGGGCTAGAGCAAAAAGTTCAGGAGATTTTTCTTCTAACAATTGTTGGTGGATGTTCACACAACGCAAAGTCCACCAGGGCAATGTCTAAAAACAGAAATTGAAGGTACTTTGAAGCATTAAATCCAACATTTTTCAACACCTCTTGTTTCCATTACATTATATCACTTTTGCATGGCACTTCTAATTCATAAACAGATGAACCTTCCTGACAAGTGAGAACCAAGGGATCTTGTTGTAATTGACTAAGAGAACATATCCTATGGAGATTACAGAACCTGAACATCACTAGGATGAAAACTCTACAGTCAGCAGAGAAGGGCAGTGGCTCCATGTTTTACTTTACTTTACTTTATTTGGACTTATACCCCGCCCCTCTAGACAAAGTCTACTCGGGGCGGCTTACAGGAGATGTTATGAACACAGACCACATGTTGTATACATAGACCTATTGAAGCTCAGTTCTCAATATCTCCAGTAGGATGGAAATGACATCTGTCTAAAACCCTAGAGAGCCACTGCCAGTCAGGACAAAAGCCAGACCAATAGTTTTACTTAATATATGGCATCTTCCTATGAAATCCTAGTCAAATGATGATAACTATATTTAGAAGGATCACAGCAGCAAGCATATAATTATTCCATGAGAACTGACAGCTTGGGGGGGAAACCATGGGCATCTATAACCCTCATAAATCATCACAAATCCCTGACAGAAAAGATGTGTCAGATAAATATGCCAAGGAAATAACATATCAGAGAACTTTATGAAGTTCCAAACACTTTTGCCACCTTCCTAATGAGTAACTTGATTACTTGATGGCTTTAGAAATCTCCTGTGACTTCATTGTGTCTACTTACTCCAAAGCATTTGCACTGTGACATGATTGTAGTATATATCAAACTGTGCTACGGGGGTGAAAGATTTTAAGGCAAAAATATCTCAGGGAACAGTTGTGTGCACTTTATTAAAACTGTTCTAGAAACACCTGTCAAGATGAATACTGCATTGTCTCACACTGGACATAATGAAATATGACGTACACCATCAAACTGAATAAAATATGGTATATACACACAAGACCTGGTGAGAGAGGTCAGCTCTTACATTTTGGCACTTTATTCAGGAACCTAAGGGCTTTAGAATAAGTGAGAAAAAGTTCTATTTGGCACTCCATAGTGGGTGTTATACAGGCTAAAAAACAATATTCTGTCACTAAGTGCTTTCAATAAAAAAGCATTGTTTTTCAGAGGAAAATCACACATCAGCCCTTAGGGGGGGAAAAGACTTTCCCTTAATTCTATGGATCATTATCGTATAAAAGAAGCTGGCAGTTATTCGTATTAGGTGTTCAACTAAACAAGTATTTGTCTGAGCACACAACCAAAACTGGGCACAGAACCAATACGAAATTTATTACACCCAAACCAGTTCAGAAAATCTGAATTTGAGTTATATAAGAAACACAAACCAAATCAGAGGCAGTGCGCCAGCTTCCATGACCCGCCTTCTCTGAGTGGACGCCTGCTGGAGGAGGCAAGGCTGGGAAGTGCCAGACACCTGCTTCTTCAGCTAATAAATGAACAGGCACAAACCATCAAGGTGATGGTTCGTACCCATTTCCACCTACATTGCCTCAACGTAAGAACATTCATTTCCTTCCTCCTGATACACCTGTCACAATGCCGCATCCCTCCTATAAAGATGCTCCTTTTATATTGGCTACAGCTGAAGAAATGACTGAAAAATATTGATTATGGCTGACTCTTAGTAGACTAGTTAGGCAAGTAGCAAACAGAGTCACAAAGAGCTCTGTGAACCTCGGAGGGAAGCTGGGCAATGCTGCAGATCAGCTGAAGCCTTTTTCTCCCTCAAAGACGAGCTATCTTTCCCAGGCTCTGCCTGACTGCTAAAGAAGGAAATCTAAAAGGACGGTCTTTGGTACTCACATATTGCTCTCCTGCTACTTCCAAGCTCCTCATCTGTGCACTGCTCACATTGGTGAGGAGGTGTCAGGAAATGTGAGGTACCTGGTGTAATGAGGGGATCTGAAGAAGTGGGATAGCTGTGGACTCTGGGAGTGCTCATTTGGGAGATTCTGGCTAAAGGGACCACTCTCTGGCAGGTTCCAGTTCTGCCTTGGTATGAAAGCCTGGGATTTACACCTCAGCAAATCTGCAGGCTACATTTTCTCAATACAGGTGGCAACAGTCCTGGCTACTGCTCAGGATTGGGGTCGTCATTTTTGAAGACATTTCTAAAACTTCTCTGAAGGCAGCACCCATGGGATTCGACTTTCAGACTATGCACTCACCCTTTCTAAACGGCAGATATACCAATAAAATAAACCAATGCCTATTCAATCAATGCCTATAGAATATCACAAGCCAAATCACTCTATAAAAACTTCCCATCCCAATCAAGGTTTCATAGCAGGCTCTGGAATTGAAGAAAATCGCCACGTTATACGAAGCAGACAATTTGGAGAAATAAAGCACTACTGCACGAGCTAGTGGTAGAGAATGTGCAGACTGTCAAATATTTCTGAACGGCAAGCCTCATCAGCCCTTTCCAAGACTGCCAACCGGGAGGGATGGTCCCAATCCCAATACAAGCTGTTACATGATTGTTAAAAATAATTTCTGACTTTGTCTGAATATACTATGGAAATTTTCCTTCCGGGACTGTGGGTGTTGTTATGTGCCATCAAGTTATTAACAATTTGTGGTAAGCCTAATAGGATTTTGGAGGTATGTGGGATGCTCAAGGAGTGACCAACCTTTGCCTCTCACTCCAAGTGAGCTTCCGTGGTTGAGCAGGGATTTGAACCCTTTAGTCCTAGTCTGCTACATTGTCTGCTACGCCACACTGGCTCTTAGTGACAACAGCAATTTCTTTTCTCCACAGCTATGCTTGCTTCTTTACTTCAGATTAGAGCCCTTCTAGTTTGAATTTTGCTTGAAACAAATGCAGTAGTAAAAAATGCCCTGAAAAGAATTCTACCTGTTCCATGGCAGCAATTTGAGGCGGAAAGATTTCATTTATGCCTTTTCTTGTTTGTGTGACGAAGGCAGGAAATGAATGTAGAATGACATATTTTTAAATAGTAAAAGAAAAAGCTAGCCCTCAGTATTGTGCATCAGTTAAAGCCTTTGACTAGGGTGATTCTCAGAACTCTGCCACAACCCACACAGCTAGCCAGGCTCAGGAGAGGGAGGCACAGCCCTCTTGTAGCACTGTGAAAGAACAAGTTGCTAACAGAATAAAAAATACTGCAGGCTAGTCAGTAAGCTATTGCCTTCCTTAAAAGCACAGCTCCCTGAGACACGGAAAATTCTGAGGACATGACCTGACATCAGGAATAGGGCCTTGCAAATCCATAGGAAGCCAAGACTGAGGGGAGGAAGCCCAAGAGAAATCTGATAGTGTATTGAGGAAGTACTCCAATGGGCAGAGAGGAGCAAGGTAAACAATACAACAATTGTCTCAGGAAAAAAAAAACTGGCAAAGGAGCCTTCTAATTGAGTTAAGAGAGGAGTTGTTTCTTCAGCTAAAAACACCCATTTCCTTCCCTCCTCTCCCCTTACCCTCCAGAGTTGACTCCCTGGCTGTAATGCAGCAACGTCTCGCCGCTTCCAATAACAAACAGCTAATTCATGAAACTGTTGGTTATCGTTTTTTTCTATATGGCAGCATATTTAGAAACTGCCACAAACTGGAAAGGAACTTTTCATTTATCTTAACATGCATGGAGAAACAGGATATGGCATATTGTCCTAATGGAAAAAATTACCACACAAGTTCAAATTACTTAAAACAACTACATTCCCAAAATGACTTTTCAACATAAGGCCTCCTTTTATTTTTTTATGTCAATTAAGAATGACAGGACTTTCTATATTAGATTATACATTTCTAGGGAAAGACCTATACTATTTTGTTGTTACTGTTATTGTTGTTTCCATGTTCTTTCAATAACGATTAAAAAAATTACTGGACTTCAGAGGATGAGAAATAAAGTGCTTTCTCTTTAAAAAAAGTCTTGATACCTCAGTCCTAGACTGTCCAGTATTTTGGATCACTGTATCTCCACTATTCCAGCATGCATTTAAGTCTTCCTGTAGACCCCTATATTACAATCATAGGTTTGCTTATTTGCTTAAAACTTTTAACATTCTAACAATATTACATCCAACATTTAAAGATGAAAAAGAAGAAGTGAAAGACCAGAAACTGTGACTGAAGAAATGCATGTGGAGCAATTAACGAAATGATTTAACATGAACCAAATGGAAATTAAATGAGTAACATAAAATAAATAATATTTAAACTAGAAATAAGCATCATTATTTCAGTACAAATTCCTTTACCTGAATAGCTTCTAGCTTATGTCTCAGGTTTACAAGCACTGCTCTGGCCAGCAACAGCAAGAACGAATGAGAAGTCAGACTGTAGATTGATTCACCATCTAGAACCAACATGTTCAGGACAGCTGTAGACGACAAGGGATAGGGCTGGAAACAGCAAACAAGAAATTCATTTTAAGATGCTTGAAATTATTCTATAAGATGTCACAAAGCCTGCCTGGTAGACACACAAATTCCTTTTCTTAACCCCTCACCTACTGGAAGTTAGGCATCATCTTCTCTATTCTCGATTCTAACTTTGGATGCAACAGCTTTAAACAATGTTGTGTTGCAGCCAAACCAGTACACAAGATTTTTCAGCCAAGAAGCTCTTCTGTTTCCTGGGCTACATCTCCAATTTATTTTAATCAAAGTTCATCAGCTGCAACCATCTGCACTTTCACTTTCCCAGCATGGACAGAATTGTACTGATTTTTCACATGTACTTGTAAGAGAAAACGCAGAAGCCACCACCCCTAAGTGCAACTTACTGACAAAAAGTCGGTTATGTACTAAGCACATGATCAACCACACAACCAAAATGTCACTGCCATTGTGTTACTAAACAGTAGCAACACCCAGGTTTTCTGATATGAATATGCAAGGAATCATTGAAATTCTGGTCTATACAACCAAAGTATTCCAGCTTTCTGTATTTTATTTAGTCTATGATATCATGTTCATTGTTCATTTACCTTGGTTACTCATTTTCATCAATCACTCTCTCAATTACATTAACCCAAATCATATTCTCCTCCTCCTCTCAAATATGTAATGCACCTGATTTATACAGTCAGTGTATATGGTGATTTATAATACAGAAATCTTCCTTAGAAGAAGGACATATTTGTTACCAAAACATGAATATAAATGTGTCTTTTTAAATGGAGAGAAAAATAAATACATTCCATTTTTAATATTAGATGTAGCGACACATCTTGCTTTTAAAAAAAAAAAGTTCATTGAATCCATTCAGAAAAAGAAATCCACAATATTTATTTATACCGCATTTTTCGCTCTGCATTTTTCGCTCCATAAGACGCACCTCAATATTTATTGTCAGTTAATAAATATGATGTGGAGGAAGGAATGGAACAAGGAATTGAATAACCCTATTTTGCCTAACTAAAGAAAGGTGGCCTTAGCTTCCATATCTGTTGTATCCATGGTTCTTCAGCTGCATCATATTCAGCAAAACATCATGTTCAAGATATATTGAACATTGCAATGCTTTTTTAGTAAGGTTTGTCCAACTGCGGGTGCTGTAGCTCATCTGATGTATCTATTAAACATATGCTCTGGTCATATTTAGTCACAGATACCGTATTTGCCGGTGTATAAGATGAC